ATAGAATGAATTGTGTCTAGTCCCTCAAGTATCGGCCATCTATTCATGTAAAGGATTGGGTTCACATAGAGGGGTGAGGAAATATTGATCCAATCGGTTTCGGGTTTATTTGGTTCCCATTCAGCCAATGACATCAGTCCCTATATCGGAAGCTTTGTTTTAATTTTCAGGAGGATAACAAGTAATGTTCAGATAAGGGTTAAGATTACAATTAAGGTTAAGGTCACGGTTAAGCTTTCGATTAACTTTAGAGCTAGGACATGGGAATATTTATCCCTCCTGAAGTGTGATGCATATTCTCCTGTTTTATTGGGGTTCTGTTCCTGTGTCTTACGCAACAGATAAGCAATAACTGAATAATAATCTATACTCTTGCTATCGAGTTCATTTACTTAAACGTGAAGGTGTCCCGTTGAAGCCATCTGCTCTTGAAAATCTTTTGACTTTTTCAAATATGTTTAGTTGTCTAAACAGACCTATCAGGACTAAAGACGTTATGCAAGTCTTTCTTCAAGTACTATGAAAAACCTCACCGATAAATCTGTAACGAAATAGCCGTCGTGTAGATACTGGAAAAGGATTCAGTTCAAAACTATACTTAAGCAAACATTTTAAGGAACCAAGTGATCGTTTTTCGAACGTTTTTTGACGTTTTTCAGTACTCCGGGCAGCTTCGAAGTACAATGACCTTCAACATGTAAATAATTTGTAATGCGAATAGTATTGCTGACGTAGACAAGGATGACTGGACTGGCCATTTCTGGCTTATTAGCAGTCGTCAGCCAGTCATACTCAGCCCCAAGTTGTGCACCACCAGAGGTTCGAACTCGTGACCTTCTCGATCAGTGTCTAACGCTCTAAACCTTGAAGCACGAGCCCTTTTTCTTGCCGGTTTAGGTCGGGAGATATTGACACTCTTTGATGAATGTTCACCGACCGCTAACGGGACTCACTCGCTTCACTCTGCCTTTGGTTTCATTTCTCAGGCCCCAACAGCACCCGTAGCGGCTAGTAGTCTTAAACAGATAGTAGGACTACTAGCCGCTACGGTTGCTGTCAGGGCACGTGAAATGAGATCCAAAGCCGAGTTGAAAAAGTGAGTTCCGTTAGAGGTCAGTGTACGTTCACTAATGAGTGTCAATGAATTGCTACATCAACAGATCCATATTA